CATATAAGGTCAACCTCCTGCTCTTAACTTGCTCGTACATCTCACACTTTCCTCATAACGACATACAAACCCTCAAAACAAACTGACATGTCGTCCACTTTCCTCTTCTTTGCGCTGGTCGCAGTCATGTTCTTCGCTCTCCAGGTCGCACCTTCGTTCGGCCTTCTGGAGTTTCTTCCAGCCGCGCTGGAGGATGGGGCTGGTCCCCATCTATCTTTTGGGGCGTGGCTCTTCGCCGGCTGCTGTGTCCTTCGGTCCTCGCCACCCGCCTGCCGTGCCCTCTCTTCTTCTGTCGGGACTCTCGCCGCGCTGGTTCGTGAGCTTGTTGTCCTCTCTCGCGACACGACGATAGCGGCCCTGAAAGCTCAAGTGCTGTCATTTGAGCAGAATTCGGGTGCCGCTTACGTCCCCCCTCCCGGTAAGCAGTCGCTGGTCGACTGTGAGGCCACCATCGAAACGCTCCGGCGCCAGATCAACAAGTTGACTGGCAAAGTCGCCATGTATGAGCGACACTACAACGTCACCGCCGTTGACGCCGACCGCCTCACCTCCCACCAGACCATCGCCAAGCTGAAGCTGGAGCTTCAGTCGAAGTGCGACGAAATTTCCCGGCTGAAAGATGCCATTATCCACAAGCGCAACGACACAACGGTGTCGACCCTTCTCTGCGAGCGGAACCGGCTGGAGGTGGCCCTTGAGGCCAAGAGGAAGAGGGTGAACGAGCTAGAGCCGATCGCTCTTCAGCACGGCCGCGATATGTACCAGCGCGACGCCCAGGTCGCCATATTCAACGCCCTCAAGGAGTATATCCACCGGATGGTGGAGGCGGGAGGTCTTCAGATGACCGTCGTGGTGTTGTTCCTTGGAGCTCTTGCGGGCAATGCTGGCATTGACCTTGCGGAGCTCGGTATCGACGGAACCCAGTTCCAGACTTACTTGGACTACGCCATGGCGGCCTGTGATGGCCTCCCCTGTCCTCTCCTTCCACAAGGTATGTTCTCCTAACATCTCCTCTACTGATTTGAAGACCACTTACTAATTATTGTCTAGGTGGCTTGCGCCTTCATGGCATTCGGTATCCGCTGTCTGGTCTGCGCGTCTTTGGCAACAGGGTTATCGAGGCTGGCCCCAGTGTCGTCGTCGCTTCCACTCCAGCCATCGTGGCCGCTGCCTCTTCGGTACCCCCGATCGGCTACAACACCTTCAGTGCCCCTCCTGCTATCATGCAGAACGTACGGAATACCTCCTGCGCGACTCAGCATGTCGCCTCTGTCGCCCCTCCATTTGTGTTTGCCGGCTTCACAGCCCCCTCCAAGTCTCCTCCGGCAATGCCATGTCCGGCGAAGACCTCCGCGCCTGCTCTACCGGATCCCGTTCCCGTGGCGCCCTCCCAGCCCGCCACGAATGAGACGAGACAGATGAGCTTCCAGCCAAGCAAGAGGCCGGGTACTTTTGGCGTAGGTGGCGGCGGGATTGGAAAGACGAGTGCGACTCCGAGGAGGTCTTGAGCGCGTCGGGTTTGGGGGTCGAAGCACAAGCGTGCTTATGCGCTGGTGGACGTGTCGGTCGTATGTATTTCGGGTGATGAGCGTGATTCGATGTTTTCAATAAAACCTGTTCAGATGCGCCAAATATCTCCTTTGTGTCTAAAGTGACCCAATAAGCAGGCTTTCTTACTCTGAGCAGCCATTTCTCGTGTATTGTCTTGATTCAGGCCTGGGACTGTTCGACGATGCGAGGTGTTGCTGTTGGGCCCAAATTGGCGCAGGTGGTCAGAAAGCCAAGGGCGAAACGTCGCGTCATGTTCGCGTCGCGGGACCATTGGAAGGACACGCGACGCCAAGAAGCTTTGACCAGAATTTTGCCACCCCACCCAATATCTTGCACCCTGTCGCGAGCTAGATGCGATGTCCATCACGTTATCACTTTTGCGCATTCCAGGTACATCATTCGGGTATCATTAGGTTCCTTCTCTTTCAACAGCCAAACCGGATGCAATACGGCCGCCCAACGTGTGGCTGATCGAGTGCGCCTCCATTGGGCAGATACACGAAGGCTTAGCATCCATCTGCAGCTCAACTATGTGCAAGGGCCACGCAACCTCGAGCTACCCTGGGCGTTGTCACTGCATAGATGCTGGCACTGGAAAACACTGCAAGTAGGCGATTGGATTGACCTGTTCCCTCTGGTGCAGCAGTTACGGTAATCTTCTAGAACCTTCTTTATTAATGGGCCCAGTCAACATTGTGGAGTTTCTGAGACGTAAACATCTGTTTTACCTACCCATTCCGCAGCTGTTTAGTGACACATTGCAGGAGACTTTGGTTTCCTGACATCTGATTATGGTCTCTTCTCGAAATCGCCATAGAAGCCATGGTATCAGGAGAAAGGATTGTCTTTCGTGTGTCGTGGTCGCTTGCCCACCTGTGAGAAAGCGATTCCAGGGAGACGAACAAACCTTTCCAGCTCACTTCCTCGTTATACGTCGCTAAATGCCTTTCTTGATCACCACTTCGCAGCTTGGCACACATCCAACTATCTTCCGCACGAACGATGTCGCAGCCGCCACTCCCTGGAAAACCAGAACCTACATTTGAAGGTTTGCCTCCTGAGATCTGGACGCAGATTTGCCACTCACGGTCGTCGTACGCAGACGGAGAGAGCTTCATCCTCGACCCCATAAGCCTTTCTAGTCTCCGTCTCACTAGTCGAATCATCCATTCGAAGACCCAAGACGCATTCCTACAGCGTCATCTCGCTTCCTCCAAGTTCAGCCTGATGCCATGGAGTCTGGCGATTCTGAAGGACCTGTCTGAAAACGAGCATCTGTGCACGTATGTGGAAGAGTTGGAGTTCGGCCCAGAGGTATTAAACACGAATCTGGATGTAGACCTTCGATATATCAAAGAGCCGTGGGAAGAGCCGTCTATGGGATGTCCACATCCTCAAAGCTACATATACATGGATTCTGCCCGACCCGTATGGCCCATGGTCAAGCTTCCGGAGCCGCTTTGGAAAGGCCTTACTGGAAGAGGTTCAGGATCAGCATTAGTGGTTCGTTGGAATGACCGAGGTGGCTATACCCACTGGCTTCAAAAGTACGAAGGCACACTCAAGAGACTGGTCGAGCAGCAGAACCGCTTTAGCATAGCGGCCGAATACGTTCGAGATGCCATCGGAAAGCTTACGAACTTGAAAAGCATCAAGATCAATCCCTGTCCTTTCGGAGCATATTACGAAGAACGATTCGCCAAGCCCATACTACGGAGTCGGGGTACCATGTCGCTCTATCGCGCAGTCGGGGCACACGCTATCGAAGTGACCACCGATTTGGCCCCATCTGGTTCGAAAACTCTATTAGAGTTTAGCCTCGATGGCCTTCTCTTCATGGAGTATTACGCCGAGATCATCATGCTGGAGAATCTCTCGAAGATACTGAGCACGGTTGACTTGGACAAGCTCACGGTTGACCTGACAATCACCGCGGCGAACCTTCCATCGAGCGGCAAGATTTACGATACTGGCCATCAAAGCTGGAGAGCTATAGCTCCTCGGATACGAAGTCTAACATTCGATTGCGCAATGAGTGATATTGATGGCAACGAGGTTCCTGCCTTGCTAACATGGATATCGGAGATGATGATCTATGCTACTGCAGTCGAGCACTTCTATGGACGCAGCTGTGACTTTGAGTACCGGATGCTGCGGACTGTCTTTATGCAGTCCTCCTGGACCAGTCTTCGAACGCTACATCTCTTCCGATCTCGCAGTCACGGGCGCAATTTGCTTCGGATGCTTCTCCGTCATCGCTCGACACTGGAAGATGTGAGCTTTTCGCATATCACAGTCACAGGCACGAGTATAGCAGCATGGAGAGATATATTTGTAACAATGAAAGACATGCATCGGCTCGGGCGCGTCACGCTTGATCAACTCGAAATAAAAGGCGATCTCGATATGTCTAGCAATGCGCCGTACTCATGGGCTTCTAAGCCACTCACATCTGATCGGCTGAACGCCAAAGGGTACGAGAAGGTTCGCTCGACGTTGGACTTCGCGACGCAGCGCATATTACTTCTTTCGGGTCGAGATATCACGTTCTGGCTAGTAAATTTCGAGCTTCCTTAATAGGAACTTATATGATACCAACTTGACGATATTGCGAGCTCAGTCGCTTCTACGGATCCCAGAAGCAAATGAGTACAGTACGAAGCTGCGATCTGAATCACTTGTTTGGAAGCGCAAGCGGCGCACACTGGGCGAACTCTGGTAGGAAAAGAGGGTCCGACTGTAGCTCTAGTCATGACCTAGTTAATTGTCGCTCTCCTGGAATCAAGCCATCTATTTAGAGTTAAGTAATGTCGCTGAATACGTCTTCTGGTACGATCGCAACATGCGATCATCGACCAAGTTCGTCTGAGTAGAGCAACGAGTGCGCGTACATGCCGAGTTTCAGATGCACAGCATGCAGCACAGGACTACCCTTGGTTCTATGCCATGATGACGTCGTTAGACTACTCGATTCTTCACTCTTACCAAGGCAAAACAAAAACTTAGTGGAGAAGAGCAAGCATGCCAGTAGAGTATCAGGCAGTACAACGCAGGTTTTCGCCATGCCCGCGCATGACACTCCTCCAGTATGCAGGGCTGACCAACCTGGTACATATATTCCGGCAGTACAGCATTATCATACGCTCTACTCATGATGGGGTCACCATTGGCGTTGTAATACTTGAGCTTCTACTGGCATCTCTAGAGATATTCAACAGGTAGCGACGCCGCGAACCCTGGTACCACATATGGGGCCACCGTGCTAAATCGCAGCACCTCATTAACAATAACCACGGGTCTATAAGGGCACACGACTTTATTTAAAACCCCGGAAAGTCTTCTTCTCAGCGACATTAATCGCTTCAACGAGATCACAATATTCACGGTACAAAACTTCCCGACCAGAAACCCGATATCTGGTAGCAACATACATATATTAATCGCTTGCCATGTCTTCAAGCGCTTCAATCAACTCAGTTGATTCTCTCGAGGAACTCTATGGCACCAACACAGCTACCGTCTCGCATGTTGTTGAAACGCCCATGGAAGAGGTCCGACGCTTCTTCCTGGGCAAAAGCCATACCCAGATATTGCAGTATGGCCTTGGTATGGAGATACCCGGCGCACCACCACTAGCGGCGCATACCATCGTTGTCACCATGGATTGCGAAATGCACGAGATAGAGCCACGAGTGCTGACAGAATATGGGCTCAATACGTTTTCGCGGAAAGAGATGGCGCCAGTTCTCAGGAGTCCCGGTATACATGGGGAGATGATCTTGCGGAATATCTACTACTATCACATTCGTGTACGCGAGAACGCACACCTTATCAACTGGAGGTTCGTCCGAGGAAACCCCGAAAGAAATCACTTCGGCTCAACGCGCTTTGCCACGAAGGAAGACGCAAAAGAGTTCCTGATCGAAACACTCGCGTGGCCTGTCGATGATGACAACGAGGATGGTCCTAAATGCCCAGTCATATTTCTCGGCCACTCAGTCCAGAACGACCTTCGGATGCTGCAAGAAGAGCTTGGTATCGACCCCAAATTCGACAGCAACGTCGTCGCCATCATCGATACCCAGAAGATCGCGAACGAGCAGGGTATTCGTGGAAAGGGTCAGGAAAAGGGCCAGCAAATCGCATTAAAAACTTTGATCCCACACTTTGGCGTGGAGTTTCGCGATGGTCACACGGCTAGTAACGATGCGGCATATACCATCATCAGTGCCGTACAGATGGTCTTGAAGAATTCGCTGCCGACCGACCCAACCCGCTCGCTGCAGGACGTTGTGGACGGTGTCGCGAAGGATAGTAAGGGGACTGTTGTGGCATTTGGGGTGCCTAGATGGTGCACTGAATGTAAGGTTGCCAGCCATCTTGTTCAGCCAGGATGCGGGGAAAAGTTCATTAAGATAGAAAGAGGGATGAGGAGTAAGTCTTCTAAGCGGTCGTGATCGCGCTGCCTGCACGCGTCCTATGATCCTTTGTTTACCGATAGGGTGTTGGTGGAGGCGTGGTGGTGGGCGTGGTGGTGGGCGGACGGGCATTGACCTCCCTATCTCTTCAAGATGTCGCCTAGTAGTCACTTCAGTTCAACAAGCTGTATTAGTTGTATCGCAGTGCATAGTATCGACATCTGAATTTATCTCGACTACCACCGCATTCACATGTTGCTCTCCCCACCACCCGCGCGGTCGCTCAACCTTTAATCCCATACCATTATCATCCGATCTAACAGCACCTCCCCTTCTTCCCAGCCCCATTCCAATAAGTCGTCATCACATATCCTCCTTGATCGTTCCTCTTCTTCTCTTTAGGCCAGCAACATGCCATGCACACGAGGATGAAGAAGAGAAGCGCAACTGTGGCTGCGAGGCCGATCATGATGGCTTTGCCGTGAACGCCGAAGTAGACATACTCGTTTGGATTGGTGGAAGTAGCGCTTTCTGCTGGTGAAGTTGAGGCTGCAACGATAGAGGTAGCGAGTGTTGTAGTTGCCATGGTGTCTTTTGCTTGGGATAGATTGCTGTGATATCTGATGTTAGTCGTCATGGCTGTAGACTGATGATGATGGACTTTGTACCTGTGAGAGTTTTGATCTAATGCCAGTCTGACGTGTAACTTCTTCGAAGGTAGTTGACTTCTAAGGTGTGTGAGGTCGAGCTGTCAGTACGCATAGAGCTACAGCCTGCTTTTATCCTCAGACCCAAAGGCTTCTGCGCACGGTATCCTCTGATGATTTCCGTTTCGACATGGGCAAAGGTCTCCTCAATATTCTGTCTCAACGTACACAACATACTAAGTTCGCTTATTGAAACTCACTGTCTACACAACTTCTCGCGAGAAGCAATGATCTTTCGGAACAACGTGCGGCTCTCCTTCCAAACAAGTCACTTTGTGCATGTATACCAGTACATAGCCACGAAGAGGCCGGTCTCAGCGCTCTCTAATCTCCCAACGAGCTGAGAAAATGCCCGATAGGGCTGAACGGCCGACCCGTCAATACTTACACGAGCGGAAACCTGCATGGAAGGTTGGTAGAAGACCCAGACATGGTGGGAAGAAGGTGGTGTGACCTTATTCCTAGTGAAGAAGGATGGAAAGGCGATGTAGCTCGTTGAGTAGAGCGAAACTCAATATCTTTCAGAGTGAGCTGGTTATCCAACGGCGTTCCTCGATCCTATGTCGGGCTTCTTCGCGTCCTTCTTGTCCTGATCTTCAACGATTCTGCCTTGCGACAACATTGTTCCACCATCCAATAAGACGGATGTTACTTCACGAAATGTTACTCGAACGTGGCACTGTAACGGCGATGCATGTTCGTACATAGCGCCGGTGAAACGGACCTTTACAGGCACTGCAGTCATGATGCTTACTGGACGTACCCTTGTCCATACATGCTTTTGGAATGGATAGTATGACGAGAACTTAAATGAACATTCATCGCGAACTTGAAGTCTAACGGCGGATTAAATTCTGTGGCTTGCCGTATAATATCGCTCTTCATTACAAATTACCTTTAATCGTAGATTAACTGTCGAACTACTTCCGGTTCACCTCAGGTACCGCCGTAAGATCAGAAGTTCGTAGAAACCCCAGGTCGATGTCCTCTATGCATATCCGAATCGTCGATCTCCACAACACCATCCGGCACATCTCCCTTGCTCCTCGAATCTATCTGCGGCGGAAGTAGAGGCTCATTGTGCAATTCAGCCGCTCCGTGGCCCACACCGTGAAAGCTATCAGTACCAAGCTCACTCATCGGACTCATGGTACCTGCGCCATGTAGTTCGGCCGAGCGTGTGGAGCGCAGAGGTGCATGGGTACCGAGCTCACTCACTGGACTTCTCATTCCCTCGCTGCGGAGATCAGCGCTGCTCAGTCTGATGGTGGGTGCGCCAGAAGGCGAATTTGCATGCCAGCCTTGCATTGTCGAAGCTTGAGAGATGGGCGACGTGGGTGAAGACATGCTCATTACGGCGTGTGAACTCAGCTCAGGGTATCGAGAGTCCATATTGCCTCCATGGCCATGCGGTTCAGATGGCTGTCCTGAATTGTAGTATCGCGCGTTTTCGCCGCCTCCACCGTGCATCTCCGGGGGCCTGAAGTAGCCTGTTTGAGGACGTGGCACTGGCATATCCTCGCTGTGTAGTTCTGCTTTCGAGCGTTGACGTACTAGTACACCGGCTCCCATCTCCGAGTATCGACCGAAGCTCGAATCATGCTGAATGTTTGGTAGCTTAGGCTTCGGGCTGGTGTTGCGAGAGGGCTCCCATATATCTGCTGGAGACGCAAGTGAAGATTGGCGTTTGCGACGACGCATAAAAAGGAATATGAGGCCGATGATGAGCGCAATACCCACGGTACCGCCTGCTGCTGTGCCAGCGATAGCGGTGGTACTGAGTGTAGGGGCAGCAGCAGTAGTGGCGGTAGATTGAGGAGCAGCGTTCGAGGTTGCAGTGATAGTGACATGCGAGTGGACAGTCACGTCGTTTTGCCCCTTCGACGTAGCGTGCGCGAGACCAGTGTCGTTCGGGAGCGGCGCCGGCCCAACCGGCGTCGTTTCTCCTTGATTTGTAGAGCTCGGTGGCGTCGAAGTCGCGGATAGTGGTGCCTCGGACGATGCGTCTGCCCACTGTCCCGTTGTAGGATCAGGGATCGATGTTATTGGGGATCGAGTGGCGTCGCTAGCTGTAAGATCGATAGGCGTACCCGCCATTCCCGATGTTGTTGACACTCGTGGATCACGAGTCGATGACAGTATAGTGACAGTGATTGCCGCAGTACTACTCGGCGTTGTGTCCTCGAGTAAATCCTCATAGTTGAACTCGTCTTTGACTCTAGGGTTGTCGAAGCCCTTACTGATACTAGTACAGGCTCGCCGGAAGAGATCCACGTATTCTAATGTTACCCGTCAGTATGAACGGAACCTTGGAACAGAGCTGGACAAGAGATACCTTGCCTGTCAGCCAAGCTGGGACACGCATTGAGGATACATGGGCCGTATAGTTTAAAGTGCAGAGGCACGATACCAATGTTACAAAAGGTGTGGAGGCTGTCTGCGCATGCACCATCTAGGACTTCGTTGTAGCCGATAAGACATTGTTTCTAGACGAGTTAGTCTCGCGACAACGATCTATGTGATAGCAGAATTGAACGCTTACAGTGCAGTCCGGGATAGGCACCAAAGGGTTCTCTGGTATGCAGTTCCTGTCTTTCTTCTGGGCCGCTGCCAATCCAAGCAGAATGAACATGACTATCAGCAGCATTTTCATTATGACGGGTACATGTAGTGGAGGAGATGTCGCAACCTTGAGGATCAGCCGACACAGACTCGCGCGTTTTAAGAGCAAACGCCCGCGCTTGCTCTCTCACCTCTGACCTCCCCCACTGCCCAATCAGAGCACATTCCCTGCCTCGCCTCACACGCAATACCAACAGAACCAATCTCAACAACACTTGGCAAGCGGCTGATCACATCAAACGCGCACGGAAGATCTTTGTGTACTACGAGTTCGCATGTAATACCTAGCCTCGTACTACTTAGTCAACGGAGATAAGCCTAAACCTAGCTCGTCGCCCAACGGGCATCCGCAGGAACTGCTACACGAGTTCGCCGGGATATATTCCGAAGCAGTTCACCGGTGAGAACAGGGAAATATCAATAAAATCCAAAACACGCAATCTCAAAATGCACCTCCCCGGTTGTGGCGTGGCTCCAGATCCCCATTTCTCTCCCACTCATCCCGCTGCATCCGTTCAAACTGTGCCCGCGATTCCCTGTCCTGTCGTATGTCGATAGAGTCATCGCCGTAGCTAGGCCGGCGTGCACTGTACTCGCTCGCTGAGTCATCTTGCGTATTGCGCTGGCCCTGCATGACTTGACTGCCGCGAAGTTGGTTGTTGGGTAGCTCGAATTGTCCGTCGTTGTATGGCTTATGACCGGGGTATCTCACGAACGTCGACATGGCGCAGTCTTCATCGGCTGTACCATACTCAGGAATTGGGCTCTTAGGGGTTGTAGGGCTGAGGGGAAAGGCAGTCGTGCTCCGCGGCGAACCAACGAGTGTCGCGTCGTTGTAGGTAGACGCGGTACCGTGCCTTGATGCAGCGGCGTCCGAGCCTGCACTGCCGGTTCCCCGGAGATCTGCGAAGTCCTGGATTGATGAGTCGCCCCTCAAAGTGTGGATCCTGTTGCTGAAGCCGTCAGGGTTCATAGCATCTAGCATCTGAGCGTTTTCGACGCGCAGCTTCTTGGCCTCCCTCTTCTTCTTCCACCAGAGCCACAGCAATCCGAAAACCATGCAGAGGACGAGAAGGACTCCGATGACAATGCCCACGATGGATTGGACGTTGAGCTTGACACCGGCTTGAGCAGGCGCAGGATTCTTGGGGTCACTGGTCGTCGAGTCGGGTGCGGAAGGGAAGGTGGCTGGAAGGTAGGGCTCCCATCGTTTCGGTATGTCGGTGAGCTCCTTGTCTACCTTCTTGCAGTGGTAAAAGAGACTGTCAAGGAACTCTGTAGCGAAGTTAGTGGTGAACGACGTCGGGGTGTAATTCACGGAATACGACTTACCTTCTCTGCCGATGTCACCGTAGCAAGCGTCGAGAACGCACTGCTGGTTGAACTCGGTGTTGTGTTCGAGCGAGTTGCTGGCCTTGCAGATGCAGTCTAGATCGCCCATGACACATAACGCCTCGCCCTGTGGCTTTGTCGTCATGCATTTCTGTGGGATCTAGTATATATTAGCGAGTGTGTCGAAGGGTGCAAACGGTGGCGCATACTCCGCAGATTGGTATCTGCCCATCGGCCGGACCCGTCGGAGTTGGCATAACTGTAGCTGTCGAATTGGTGATCGTGGTGGTGAGTCGCGTCGTAGTAGTCTTCGAGGACGCCGCGGAAGTGGTCGCACTTGTAGCCTGAGTCAGTGTACTCGGTTGAGTAGACGTACTAGGTTGAGAGCTCGTGGTGGTGGTGGGCTGCGCAGTGGTAGAAGTGGAGACTGGGATATGCGGATTGTACTGAGCCCAGGCTCCAGTGAGATCGATCAAGGTCTTACCAATACAGCCTGAAGAGTACTGCTTGAGAAACACTAGCCAGTTATGGGTTAGCTCTCTCACTCATTTTCTAATTCCCTTACTTGGGGCGGGGGCACGGTACGCACGCCTTCTTTTGTCGTCACCGACCAATTCCCTCAATATGCAATCGGCGGAGAAGTACTGGTTGCGGCCAAACTCTTGTGTCTTGTCACAGACGCATCCAAAATATCCAAGAGTGTCCCCGCTGTGGTTCTCGCAGTACAGCCATTTGTGCTCGTTGTTCGGATTGTCCGGCTGGTCTGGGTACATGGTCCCTTCTGCTTCTTCCTGGCACTGCTTGGATATCTGAGCTAGTTAGCTGATCTGCAGCAAAACTCATAGCAAAATTCCACATACTTCATATACAGGCGGTACATATCCAGGCAAGTCCATGGTGGGAGATGCTGGCGCTGGTATATCGGAAGCGGAAACGGCATCAGGAGCAGGAGGAGTGTATCCTGAGGGGTTGTTGTTGTCTGCCATGTCTCAACTCTGCAGCAGTGAAGTACTCAAGATGTGAAGAAAGATGTGATGAGAGATGTTTGTTGATTCACAACTTCCACACCTTCCAACGTCCTCGTTTAGCCCCCCTCAGTACGGTGAGTGAGCGCCAGTCAGGCGATCCGATGTCGGTGACCGAGCTGTCGTTAGAAACTTATCTATATACCCGTAGCGGCGACGCTTCACAGCCTTTTTAGAGTAAGTCCAGGGAATCGTGCGGTTATAGTTGAGAAACCAGGGCCGAAGGTGAGTGTACATCGGTGCTTGCGTGCCAGCATTCAATTGCATTTCGCTCGACTCCGGGAGTGCGCATTGGCATTGGCGCATTCGGGTGAACGATGGCACCTCGGACTTTACTTGTGTGGCGCGCAAACACGACGTTCGTTCAAGGCGCCGCACTCGGCGTGCTCGCAAACAGTCCTCGAACGCATATACCTGTACAATCAGCCAATAACCATAACCATGGACGTTCGAGACAGAAACAAGTACGAACGAAATTCCGAGAAAAAAATCGTCGAATTAGGTAAGTTGATAGCTGGCAGCACTCCTCGATATGCCTCCAAATCGATAATCAGTCATATCCAAAGAGACCCCAGTGTGAACAAAAGAAACCTCGGTCTATAGCTTGTACGCGAATTCCTCGTCTTCTCGATCCGTCTTCGCATGGTATACGCATCTCAGGCGGCCAAAAAGCCAAATTGCTCCATCTGGTGTGCCACCTCTTGCGCGTTCCATCTCCATCATCCCATCCAGCCTTGCTTGTCTCGACAACGCGTCTAGAACAAGCAGTCCAAGCAGCAACAGCACGCCAAACCAGCGCACAATCCCGCAAAAAGACCGCCACCACCGCCATCAGCCCTCCTGTCGTCCTGGTAGTAGCCGCCTGGGGGCGGAGGGCCCTGCTGGTACTGCATCTGCTGACCGTTGTATCCTCCTTGGGGAGGTCCGTATTGTCCTTGAGGAGGTCCGTACTGGCCCTGTGGCGGTCCGTAGGGGCCAGGCTGGCCTTGTTGGTAGGGGTTCGGGCTGCCGCCGTAGTAGTCGGGTTGGGCGCCGCCTTGGTTGTAGTATGAGGGCTGCATGCCGCCGGGGGCTGGGCCAGCATCTTGGTGCGCTGGTGGGGGATAGGCGGGTGGTGCGCCTTGGTCCTGAGAGAGGGTTAGCACGTGGTTGTGGTTGCGACTGGATTGGATAGGAGATGGGAATGTCGCGCGCATTGCGACAGGAGACGCTAGCGGATGCGAGGCAGACGTACGTATGGTTTAGACATGTTGGTAGTTTGTGAGGATTACAGAGAGTGTGGTGTAAGTGTGATGGACTCCTCGGAAGGCAAAAAGACTGTTACGTCGTTTACTGGGCGGCAAGGCTGGGTAATCTCTTCCAGCTGTCGATCGAACTTTGTTGGGGGTTTGTGCCAGGTGTGAATGGCGATCCTCGGGGAACAGTGTGAAGAAGGAAGGAATGAAGGGTAAGTAGGGAAGGCAAGGTTTACTGGAGTAAAAGGAAGGAGCGACAAAGTGGTCAGAAGTACAAGTAGAATGCGGAGTTGATCACACACCAGATGTCGCGGCGTACGAAAGAGGGTGGCTGAGCAAACGTGGCGGACCGGCTAAGCCTTGTTCGGAATAGTCTCCATTCGATAGTCCAACGTGAGCGCGAATCGCTATACTCCCAAGGCTTATGGTACCGTGGTATCCGTGATCATGCATATAGTCGGCTTCGCAGCTATTACAGTATTTCGTAGTCCTACTAGATCAAGTACATATGGTAGATGCATTAACTGCAAATGCATGCAGCACTTTGCCTGGTGAGTAATCGTTGCAAAACAGCGGGTACATCCAGGGGACATGTCAGAAAGTCACGAATGTCACGCGTAAGAGGATGCGAATATGTAAGAAGAAGAGCGCAGCCAACGCGGGCCGCCAGAAACAAGTAATTCTCTCTCCTCCTCGTTGGGGCCATGCCACCAACCCTAACGCCTCGTCCAGCAGATCCAGACTATAATACAATGCTCTACGTTCCACCCAACATCACCTGCCCGTCATCTCAATGGTATCATATCCACCACCTACGTCCCAGTAAAATAGCTCAGGATCCTTCTATGCCTGCACGTCCAGGCCCTCATTCGCCGGTGCCTGTTGCATCTCCTCGTCTTTGCCCGGAATAATCAACTCCTCTTTTTGCTCTTCGTCAACAAATTTCCTCTCGCTAACGTGTTCTCCCTCCTTGGGGGCGACCCATTTATTTGTAGTGATCTTCTTCTGACCAGGCTCATGCTTATACAAGCAGCGCGCGTTAAGACACGGGTTGAACTTGCACATGATGGCACTGTGTCCAAACTTGCAGCCCTCGACAGCGCAGTCGGCGCCGTTGTGACAAGGCTTTGATGTGGGATGCTTGTAGGGGCACGACGAAGGATCGCGGCAGTTGGGCCAGAAGGCGCACTCCTGCTCTGATTGGAACTTCTGTCGCTGCGCAGGCGATGGGTGCTTGCCGACACACTTCTTGTTCTTGCATGCCGCACCAAAGTCGCACGTATCGTTCATGTCGACTGGGGTTCCGGGAATCGCAGCGGGCGACTGGTGAACGAAGTGGCAGTCGGGGTTGCTGCATCGCAAGTTGAACTTGCACATGGTGGACGAGGGATCTGGGCGGCCCGAAGGCAGTTCGACATCCATGCCGCTGCTGTTCTCTCCAGCTGGGCCGTCTGCCATTGTTTCGTCCTCGCCTTCCTTCTTGGTGAAAGTCTTAGCATTCGGGTTCATGCCTCTGCCGCCCTGGTGTGGCCGGTCTATGCGTTGATGTAACGACTTCTTAGGTCCGCGGTTGTTGCCATTGAAGTTGGGGTTGACGAAGCCGGTTGGTTGGCCACCGGAGAAAATCTGCTGCATCATCTGCGCCTGCTGCTCGTACATCTGCATAAGGGCCATTTGCTGTTGCGGGTTCAGGCCGATGCCAGGCATGCCATTCTGACCACCCATTCCCGGCATAGGCATTCCTGGCATACCACCCATACCCATACCGTTCATGTTGTTCTGGCCCATGTTCATGTTGGCGTTGCCCATACCGCGGCCGTTTGCCATTGCCTCGATTCCGCGACCGATGTTCTGGCCCCGTGGGCCTTTTGGCGGATCGCGGGCGTGCGCGTTCACACGACCAACTCCACCGCCGGCGCCACGTACGCGATGTAACACCGAGTCGCTGTTGCGGTCCATGTTCTTGTTAAGTTGGTTGAGCATCCGGCCGCCTCGTGCTGGACGTGCTGCTTGGGCACCGCTGCCGTTGCGCATAGCCTTGGGGCCTGTAGGACTGTTTACGGTTAGAATCTGCAGGTTTTGATACGAGGAACGTGAGCGCAGAGGAGCCACGGCAAGCTTCGACGTCGCCTTGATTTGGCATGCGCGTGATTGCGCGGTCTCCTTGCAGTTTCTCCTCGCTTGTGGAGCTGCCCTAAAGGGGCGGGAAAGTGGAGGGTTCACATACATATTGCCTTGTCCTTCTGACGCGCCTTCCATATCTGTATCTTGCGCAGCTGCCGAGTTGTCGTTTGAGGTGCTGTCCATCTGGTTCTCGATTGACTGTGTGACCTGCGCGTTGCCGCCGCTCGACTGCTTGAGGTGCTCGATCTGCTCGAATAACCACTGCGCAAACTGCTGTGTCTCTGTGTTCTCCGGGCCCAGGTCGAGCAGATCGTTTGACAGTTCTGATGCGACCTGCGCTTCATTTTTGTCGTTGGCCAGCATGAGGAGGATGTACTCGAAAAGCGTCGTGTCTTCGCCGCCCGTCGTCCACCCAAACTCGGCGAGCTTGGGCTGGACTACCTGCTGCAGCTGCATCGCCAGCGGCGACTCGCTCGAGAAATCGACAGCCATGGTGAAGGCAGGCGTTGGTTGATGGCCGTGTCGCGTGAATTGGATGTTGGCGGTGGGTGGAAAACAAAGGGAGCGACGAGGAACGCGACTTCCGTGACGTGTGACGTAAGGCTATCGCGGGTACGGAGTGCGACGGTCGTAAGAGATGTGTCGTCAGTCGTGAAGATGGGTGCGCGTCAAGTGCAGTGGGTTGGAGCGTGGGTGTGTGGAGAAGGAGCAATTGTCTCGCAGCGCCTGCTCAAGTTCTGCGCAATCAAAGCTCGGCACTTGCCGCTGCCACTAGCGCCTCGCGATGCGTCTTGTTCCATCGGCCGCCTTCTTCGCCACCCGATTATACATCAGCATGTGCTTTATGGAGTTGTTTTAACAGCACTCAGAGACGTTTCATGCGTAATCAAAATGTTTTGTGGCTGCCTGATAATGCAGCTTGTTCAAAGCTTGATCTGGGATGTTATGTCAGCAGCCGTGTCCTGGTGTCAAGGAAAGGTACCAAGGCCAAATGTGACGAGATATTTGCAGTACATCTGTCGTTTCTAGACGACTAAGATTTTGCGTGACCTCTGCCGATGGCTGATACCTGTCTCATGATAGCCGTGGCCCAAATGACAGTCTTTTCTCGACGTAAGTAAAACGTAATACTGTTCACTGGAAGACTTGAATCAGACTGTCACAGCATCTAGAGCGCTTATCAAGAAATTCATGTATTCTGCCGATCATGATCACGCATGCGACTGCTCAAACTTGAGGCGTGCCTCTTCCATGCGTTCATCTTCCTCCATCCGAAGCCTTTGTTGCTCGCGTAGTTCATCGGTGATAAGAACACCGGAGCCTGTTGTTCTGCGTTCTGGAAGCTGTTCCTCACTCTCATGCCCAGTCCTCGACATACTAATGTCTCCTGACATCTTTTCGCTGTTCTTGTCGCGATTTCTGGAACCGAGCATATTCCTCAAGCCATGACTCTTTGGCGCATTGCCACTGGATCGATTAGGCGATTGTCGAACGTAGCCTTGTGTGTCGTAG